GCAAAGGAAAAACCTCCCCAACACGTATTACAGACCGGCCGACTCGGACCTGATGGTCCCGATACGACGTCTTCATTCACCGCCTCCTACCGTCGAAGCATCGCCGACCTCACCCGGGCCGAAGATGGGCGTTGCAAGAAAGCCAAGCCAAATCATGCGTGACTGGGTGAAGCGCTCTGGTTCAAGCCGGTATGTTCGGTCCTGGTGTTGTCACTCATCACTTCCGCTGACCAACCGTCTCCCAGGACCACGAAATCATCCGGACAACCAGTCCCATCTAACCACCAAAGAGTTGACATCGTCAACCTTGGCGGCGGACGCGTGGGCCAGCCGGATATCGAGCCCACGATCGACGCCGGCCTGAGACTGCCAGTGGCAACACGGAGGCCCACCACCAAAAACCGCCCCAGTTCAGCAGACAGTCGAGTCACGCAGTGGATCGATCTGTATCCCGAAGCCATCGAGAGATTCTCCAAATCGCCGCCCGAACCACGGCCGAAGCCCAACCGTTCAGCGTCCTTGCCGACTCCGACGAGGATACGGAGAGGGAAACAGCAAGACCCAGCTCAACCACCAACCCAATCGCGCACTCACCGTGACGGAACTATGATCGCAGAGCTACCAGAAACGGACCCATGTCCAGCACCAGCACCGCTCAGAGTTCCGTCCACCACAAAACAGAAAATGGGCTCAGACAGTAATGCGTCGCCATCAAGCAAACCGCCACCTCTTGGTCCGGAACTCGTCCGCAAAAACTCGAAATGGAAACCGCTTCCCGGTCTTCCCGCTCAGAAACATCAACAGCTACAGACCATCACAACAACCTCGTCTACGTCCATCGTGCCTCAATACTGCGGTACGCCGCCGCCCACACCAGACAGCGCAACCGGCGCCGCTACGACAGCACCAAAACCGGTATTGTCAGAGACAAGCAGTCTCGCCAGTCCCAATACCGTCGGCTCACCCGAAGACGCAATGAAAATCACCATCGGGATGATGCGCATGCCAGGCAGTACCCGGTCCTCATCTTCTCCTGCAGTATTGACAGTGAACTCGCCAAATACTACTATTGCCGCTGGACATTCTGGACAGCGTCATACGAGGGAGGAACGGATGTGGTTGCACGAGAACTACCGCGGCGAGGCGCCGTTCTTGTTGGCATGGGGTTTGGATATTACGAGAATGGAGGATAGGGAGGAGGGACTGGCGATTTTGAGGGATTTGATGCTGGTTCGGGATGGTAATAAGAGTCCAGAGGTTGTGAGTGGCGGTGTTAATGGTGGGAAGTTAGAAGGAGAGGATCGTGTTTGTGAAAATAGTGGTGGTGAAGCGAGTGTTAGTCATGTAAATGCTGGAGATGATGGGGGGAGTGCATGATCTGAAGTAGCTGAGGTAGGCTGGGCTGGGTGGCTGTTGCACGATAATAGGGCTGTGGCTGAGGATTATAAGTGTGGTTCTTTGTATATGATCACTTGGACCTTGGATATATACTTTGAGGGTTTGGAGGACATGGAAGATGAATATAGGATCATAATTACCCAACTCACCTCGTCAGAGACTACCATGATATCTGTCGACACCAAGACTATCCTACAATGGTAGCTGGGTAGAACGATTTGAGATGGTTCTATTGAGCGTTATTTCCCAGCCTTACTATCTAGTAGCTGTTTGGCGAGCTATTCCAAGATAGACCAGAGGATGACCACCCGACTCCAAGTGGGTTGGACATTCCGGTCGGGGAGTAGACACGTTACTCCCTAACACTACGTCTCACTCTCGCCTGTACGGCACGGCAGATCAGCAGCAGAGAAAGTCGGTCATGACTTTGAGCTGCAGCGTCTGTGCTTGTCTGACGGTCTGGTCGCACGGATCAGGCTGCCTCGTGAGGCTAATTACGTGGGACGATAATCCCCGTCAGTCATTCGTCGGTCAGCCCCCTATTTGCCCCTACAAGGGGAATTAGACCTTGGTGTCAATGAGCTTACTTCAACAACCATATGCGCGTTACTTAGGCGAACTCTGCCTATTCCGAGGACCAGCAAGAACTCCTTATATTGGTCCTTGTATTGGTGCCAAAACGGGCCAACAAACAGTCCAGTTAAATAGTATCACCACTAAGATAGCCAAGGCATTTGGAGTAGAATTAACCGATCACAATATTTTAAGAGTCGCCAGGAGACAATGTCTTGCGGGTTTAGGTTTACCTTGGGTCTAACTGAAGCGTTTGGTAACACAAAAGAACAGCGGATTCGCTCTGCTTACCCCTTCCCTCGTTTGAGGTATCATCTCCGAATCCTGTGTCATGCTGAATCGTGCTGAATCGTTCTCCTCGGTTACCAAAAACCACTGGCCATGGTGAGCTGTACCATCAGCGGAAGCATATTAGCCCGCTGGTACTACCACTACGCAGAGTTTTCTGTCAATCATATAGTCTTACCCATTAAGGTCCCAGGTGACTAATAACGGCGATCCATTCCATCCCTTGCATTGATTCATTCAACGTAGGTAGTAAGCAAAATTGCCAGCCACATTTTGGAATGTCATCAAGCCCGTCAGCTGAACCTTGACCTGAACCAGGTCTCAGGGGAAAACCGATGGACGGAAAAGGGTTCCGTGTAACCCGACTGGGCAAAATCATTCTCGTTATGTTAGCATGTGGAGATAGATAGTAGCTTATGCATCGACCGATGAGAGCCTGGCACTGGAATGTAAATCGACATCTTTACCCCGGATTGTGGCTTCTCAGCCCCTGACACACAACATCTGGGCTGCTTGGCGCAATATCCAAATGGTTCCAAGATCCCAAAAATAGGATAAATTGACTTACTCGTCCCTTGCGTGAAACTCCGGCTTGGCAGATTTCCCAGTCGGGATGTTTTTGTGTTCCGGGTACAACTGCAATCTGAGTCGGGTAAGCTTTTCGAGGCCAAGTTTGTATTACCCGCCTGTTCGCTACCAGACACGAATCATGAAATTTTTTAACAAGACCATTGATGTCACTTTCGTTTTCGTCCCCTGAAGTGGGCTGGACCTACTATATAAGTCTCGTATGACGTGCAATTAATTTCTGAACTCCTGTATATCTTCAGCTTAAACCTCAATCCCTACCCAACTATCATCACCATCAACAAATAACAAAACACACAACTAGCAAAAGATACCCACAGCATCACATCCATTATGATGTTCCTTCAAACCCTCATGCTGCTTCCCCTCTTGGGCTCAACCGCCCTCGCAGCAGTCGCCCTCGACGAGCGCGCCACCCCGTGCGGCTTCAAGATCGCCGCCTGCCCAACAGGCCAGTACTGCAAGCCTGTCGACCCGAGCTGCACGCGCGGGCAGAACTGCCTCGGCACGTGCAAGAAGGGGACCGCGCCCACCACCACCACCACCACCACCACCACTGCGACACCAACACCAACGCCGACACCAACCAAATACAAGTCCTGCGGCGGGTTCCGAGTCGATCCCGCCAGCTACAAGTGCACCGTCGACGAGATCTGCATGGACGACCCCTACAGTGGCGGGTGTGGGATGGCGTGCGACGCGCCGGGGATCTGCGTCAAGCCCGTGTTTTGTGGCGGCTTTGCGGGCATCCAGTGCAAGGACAAGACCAAGATGTGTGTAGATGATCCGAGAGATGACTGTGATCCGCTGAACGGTGGCGCGGATTGTGGTGGGGTCTGTGTTTAATCTTTGACTTGATTGAGTTTGTGTGGGATTTGCATGGAGGGAAAGGCAGGAAAAGGAGGCACATGTTCCATGGTATTTCTTTGAGGGATGGGAGAACTATCTATGTCTAAGTCGCGAACCTTTAAGTTCTTAGCTCGAGTTATACTATGGACGAATAGCAAAACTTATGACACATGACCATGTGAATTTGGCGTTAGATGCTCGCACCACTATGTGTTGCGGTGCTGTACCACGACATCGTTATCCGGTCTCAAGACATGTACCATGACCAGACGGAGATGACTTGAGCTTTACCATAGAACGAGGGCATTTGTTATCAGGTGTTCGTTGTAGGTGCGCTGTTGTTGTCGGAATTAGTTGATGATTTGCTAATCGTAGGGTGGTGGATCACGTCATCAGCCTTGTTGCCGAGAATATGTCAGCGCGACCATCGCGAACCAAAAGCACGGCTGCCAACTCGGGGTATCGGTTTGATGATTGATCTGACGGTCAGTGATTGCGCACCTCTTTGGATTTGTTTATTAAGCTAACCCTTTGGATACCGGTTGCACCACGTTAAAGGCGAGCGACTATATAACCGTATGCGGGAGTTCAAGTGGATAGAAAAAGAGGAAAAAGGAAAAAAATAAGTGCATCAAAGGTGCTTCGAACTTACGACACTGGCTTTTGGCACATCTACTGGGGTAGGGTTCTATCCGGTAGAAGGTTATTGGACCTACGAAGTGAAGCGAATGACCGCTGCGCCAAGTTGACTTGACGCGTCCATTGCTGGAGCCTCTGATGTTGGAAGGGACAGTGTTTGAGGAAGCATATATACCACCTGCGGAGGTTCGATCTAAAGTCAAGCTGGGGATGCCGGTGAATCACATGTTCCGAATCGTACTCACTGCCGTTTGTGCTTGACGTTTTAGAAAAGTAGCCTGTCCAATTTCCCATGCTTTCTTTTGAGAAAGAGTTAGAACAACTTTAACCAGCACGATTAATTATGATCCTATCCGTTATCTCGGAATCTTATCGCGGACTCGGCTCCGGCCAAGTCGATTCTTCTCTTTAAACCGTTGCAAAGCGAAAACGCTCCGCCCCGGTCGGTCCTTCCTTCCATCTCAGCCGCGTTGACAGCCGACCTGGAAGTCTCCTCCTTCCTTTATCCCTAGTAACTACCACAAGTCCTTTCGCATTCCTTCGCTTTATACCAGACTTCAACATCAATAACTCAGCATTCTTAAGGGCTACTACCCTATCTGCCACTGCTCTTTCCAACGACAGTGACACCCAGGGCGATAAAAGCGCCAAAATGGAAAAAGAAATGACCCCGGCCCGACTTGCACGGACAACCTTCCGATCTGGAGTCGGACGCGCTCCTATTGCGCCACGAGGCCGTGTTTACTGCCTATTCGGTGGTGTGCTGGCTGTAATTATGACTGAAATAAGGGTGATTGTGACTCCCGTCGGTAGCGGTGCGGTTGCTTACAGATTGAAGCGAACAGCTTTGCGCAACCTTGGCCCGCGTGTCAGCCCTTTCTGTAGGCCTTAGTACCGGATTGCACGACAAGCACTGATTATTGTTTATAATCATGGCAAATACTCAATTTCACAGACTATCAAGTTGATATGGATGCCTAATGTGGGTTTCATCTGATCCAATGGCTTGCAAAATTTCACCCACGAGGGGCCCCGAAGTCCCGTCAGCTTCTTCCAATGACTCTCCCTCCTCATATCTAATCGTGAAGTTGGCATCTATATTCCATAAATAATATAGTAGTTGTGGTTTACTGGTCCAGAATCGAGCTTTGGCTGGCTGTGGTTAACGAGCAGGCTGCTCGCCCAAGGCTGAACGAAAGAACCCGCAACATCATGAACCATTAGCGGTGCATACCGTGACATGGCAGGTAAAGGTTCTGGATCTTGGAACTACCCATAATATTGCTAACCTCACCCCATCTCACACTGCTCTCGCCGGACTGCGGCCATTTGCTCCGGCCTCGGACCAGTCCCTCACAGGCGGCTTCAGCGAAGGCAGCAAAGCAAAGCATTGATGGCTCTGAATGAGGAAGGACACATTTGATGGGTCCTTATGAAGCAGGGATGGACCCAAATCTTACACCTACTTTTATCTCCAACATGGCCGATGGGGTCCATATCAACCTCCCTGCCCGCACGAAAAGCCCAAGTCGGACAAGGCACCGATCTCATGCTCCGAGTCTAGCAAACCCTCACGCGCGTACGATACTTCGACGCGCCGTGGATCCAAACCAGCCTGCACAACACTGACGCTTTCTAGTTCCTCACTTTGCACCAGTCTTACAATTATGCCCGCCTACCAACTCCATTACAACATGTTGCGCAGCATTAATACCAGGTACCGACGTGACATGAATCAACTTCTTCCATGTCCACGCTTCCTTCTGTTGAGAGTCATTTCACCACTGATATTCGAATCTCGGCTACCAGTTATGATGTTTCATTCGGCAGGGTTTCCCCTCGGAAGCAGTCCGGGAAATCAATTTGCCTAATGGAACATTGGCAAAGTTGCTATCAAGCTTCCACCAATCTGCGGCTCGATCATAATAACTTGGCTGGATAAATCCAACCCCAGATTCGGCGAGTATATTTCCGCAATAACACCACGCGAAGTAATTAAAATCACGGGTTTATGATCCAGGTTAGGAAGGATGTATATATGCCGCGATGGATTTAACTATCTCGACCGCACCACTTTAACAACCTTATCAGTGATCGCCAACTACTCCCCAAAGTAATAATCCAGGTAATTCACAATGCGCCTCAAACTCCTCGCCCTGGCGACGGCCTGTCTGTACGCCAGCACCGCCGCGGCAGCAATCACCTTCAAGGTCCAAAAAGCCGCCAACCCGACAAGCGACCAAGCGGACGCCTACGCGCGCATCGAGGCCGCTTTAACGGCTGCCGCAGCGCGGTACAACAAGCTTACCACCCGCCCAACGAAAAGCATCACGGCGCAGTACGTGCCAGGCGTGCAGACGGCCGATGGCAACTTCAATGGCAACATCCGGTTCGGGTCCAGCCGGTCCTACATGAACGAGCGCACGGCGCTGCACGAAATCGCGCACACGCTGGGCATCGGCCAGACCAAGGCGTTCGACACGCGCTGTGCGGCTAACAACTGGCCGTCAGCGACAAAGCTGTTGCAGTCGTGGGATGGCAGCAGTGCAAAGATCAACTGCGGCGGCGGGCACATCTGGCCTTACGGGCTGAATTACGATAATGAGTGGAGCGAGACAAATGGGAATCGGCACTGCTTGTTGATAGATGCCATGTTGGCGGACGGGTTGGCTGCGTGATTTGTTTAGAGCAGTAGCTACAGGCATTGATGTGGTTACGGCCTCTGAAATGGGGTTGTAAATACATAGATTTATGGAGAGTAATCGTTGACATGTCTATGACTTTCACCACATCATACCTTTGTGAGTCTTTCGAAACACTTAGACAGGCAACATTCAGGTCTGGGACAGCGCAAAAAATAAGAAAAGAGACGAAATTCTGGTATAATGGCTAGTAGCAACGTGTCCGAGTAATTTGATGAGCTCATTCGAGCCCAAAGAACGTTCGATTCCCAAGACCAAGGTCCACTTAGTTGCATCATTCCGTGGCTTGGCATCTTGAAGCTATTTACAATTGGAAGGAGCCCTAGGTGGTCCTTCTTAACTTCCAAACCCAGGGTCCTTGTTGCCTTCCAGTCACACTGCTCACCCTGCCGCCCACAAAAGGACTTCGTCGATTCCAATCGTCATCGTCAAAACTCTTCCCCATTCAACAAACATCGTCAACTTCGACAATCATCCATCCATCAACCAGCCACCCATTCATCAACCGTCGATTAAACAACTTAGCTAACACCCTATTTACAATAGCTAACCTATTACGATTAACGACGACGACGACCACGCGATCGTACCAGACGACCACACACGCACGCAAGCCCAGTTCAATCCACCAACAACGACGTTGACAGAAGCACACACAAGCCGAGTTCAATCCACCACCACAAAGCTCACGGTTACAAACGCGCACACACACATATTTGTAGTGGTTGAAGATGAGGATGTTATTGTCAAGACTACCGTCGTGACTGCTGAAAGCAGGGGTTGGGTTTACGATAAGCAGCGTCTCTACTATTGGGCCAGTTTGAGTTTGGGTCTACCTGAGTGCTGTTAGTCGCCGCACCCATTTCGTCGCTGGGGCGCTAACAGCGTGAGCGGTGCAACTAGCAGCTGGAATGAAGGTGAGGCTCTGTAAGTCGAATGTAGATGCCTTGGAGCCTGAGCATAGCCACAAACAAATCCCGCAGTTCACCTTTTTCGCCCGACCTTCTTTTTGAGTGGTGTTCTTCATCCACCCGGCAGCTAATTACGACGATAGTTGCCTAGGCGGACTGGGGAATCGGTTTGAACAGCGTTGCGTCTATGGCATCCCTGCATCACGGACCTACTCGAATGGATTCCCTCGAGTCTCTAGGCGGGCACGGCCTCAGTATCCTGTGGGCAGGAGACGGACCTTCAGGGTTTGGACTGGATGGCCGCCCTCAGGCTGAGTGAGTCTAAATCTCTTCACCATCGCATGGTTGTGTCTGGATTGTTGATATAATTGTCTAACACATCCACTCTCTATAGTGTTGTCTTTGTGCATGGACTCAACGGTGACCGAGTCAAGACCTGGACAACCGAAAGAAGTGTGTTTTGGCCGCGGGACCTGTTGCTGCAGAAGCTACCCATGTGTCGGTCATGACGTTTTGGGTACAACGCGAACAACTTCTTTAGTTCTTCTTCGCTGCAAAACAGAGACTTTGCAGTCTCGCTCCTATCAACACTTCGTGATCAGCGGAAACACGATGATGTGAGTCTTTAGCTTTTGATAGCCACGGGACGAAGGAGTCTGCTGACAGCTTCAAATGTAGGAACCGTAAAGACCACTTATCTTTGTGTGTCATAGCCTCGGAGGTATTGTGATGAAGAAGGTACCTTAAGCTGTTTCCTGGAGCATGAGATGAACTTCAAGCTGACGACCTATGGACAGGCGCTATAGATCGCCCGTATCAATGACGGATACAAAAATATCCTGTCAAGCACAGTGGGATTGGTAGGTCTTTTGGTGAATTGACGTCAGCACAAGTTGCTACCTTCTCTTTCTGATTGATGTGCCTACTGTAGGTTTTCTTTGGCACGTCTCACCGCGGCGCTTCAATCACTGATTTCGGCGCGGCGATTGCGAGCATTGCCCAATTTCTCGATAAGAGGCATCTGCTCTCTGCTCTGACGAAAAAACAACCAAACGTTGTATGAAATCTCACAGGACTTTGTCGCTCTCGTGGGCAGCTTCAACTACTCGATCAAAAGATTTTACGAAGAGAACAAGATTGGGGGCGTTCGACTGGTGAGTGGCTATCCCTCAATAGGATTACCAGTCCGCTCGGATAAACTGACCTTTTCCTGATGAATCAGGTGGTCACAAAGGACTCTGCAACAATGAATGTCACGCAAGAAGAATCACTGCCAATTTCAGGAGATCATAGGGAGATCTGTCGATTTGATGGACCCGGGGACCTGCGTTTTGAGATAGCGTGGAACGCTATAAAGCGTCTTATTCCGTAGCGAAAGGTTTATGGTGAGTACATACTCCTGATTCATCAAGTGATTTTTGAACTAACACGAAAGCAAAGTCCTATCGAGCGAGAACGGGACATGTCTGGCGTCTATTCCTGGGGTGGATGTCGAAGAGTGTTTGCAAAAGACCAGAGCCCCCTTCAGCAGCTCTTGTGACTGGATCGCCCAACATCCACTATTGATATCCCTGCAAAAATTAACTAGGCTTCATATCCTCCATATCCTCGGGAAGCCGAGGTCTGGGAAATCCACCATGGCTGCCCACCTGTATCGGTCATGCTTCAACAGCGGCCTTGACCGTCCGGTGTTTTTCTTCTAGTTCGTGGAACAGAGTAGAAATACGGCTGCCTCGGCATGGACATGTCTTCTGAGACAACTCGCTGTGTGCGATCCTTCCAATATTCAAGAAATGAGATCAAGGACGAGGCCTTACCAGCGGCACACGTGGTCCGAGTATCGGCTTCAGCAGGAGTTTGAGACGCTGGCAAAACGCATCATCTCTACGAGATCTTTGTAAATCATCGACGGTATTAATGAATGCAACAGCACATTTGATCAGTTTCTGGGCTCTGTGGAGTCGATCCTCGCTGCTGAGCAAAAGACGATCAAGTTTTTTTTTCTCGGCCGCCGCCAGGACACTCTCTCAACTCTACGGACGTGGGCTCCCCTAGCAGAGTGCCTGGTGGATTTAGAGGTTGACACGGAGCCTGGCCATGAACAAGCGGTTAGGGACTTTGTTG